CACACACGACAGTCTAAAATATTGTAGATTTCCTCCTTTTTTCTAGGTGTCCAAGTGAACATTTTCTTTCAAAACTCTGTGTTTGGAACATCAAGGATGGATTATCCCAAAATGGATTATTTTCTGGATGTCGAGTCTGCTCATAGACTCTTGGACGTTGAGTCAGCTCAAAGATTCTTCTACAGTCAAGGAGCTCAAGGTAATAACATGGGAGAAAGAGGAGACTCCTCTCCTTTGCATGCTGATTTTGTATTAACGAGCGCCCTCTCGGATGTAGCAGTTTGAGCTTTATTCTGTAAGTTCTAACTTGATAACCTTTAGCAAATAGCTGCCGGAAGGGAGGCAGGCATATAATAGAATAAATAAATCCACACTTCTCAAATGTAGTAAAAAAAAAAAAAAAAAAAGCAAAAATACCCAACTTTTGGTACAAATGCCCCTCAGAAAGTTGTGTTAGAAAAATGATTCCCCACCTCCTGGTGTCCAGAGGCTATTGTGAAAGGAATCAGAAATGCTTTTCCCTCCCCCAAATTTTAAGTTTGCAGCCACTGCACTTGCAGAGATCTTAGGGCATCGTGACCTAGCCCAGGGGAACCCTGCCAGATTAGGGGCTCCTGAGATAAGCTCCGAGCATCTATAGCTGCCTTATCTATTTTAGATGAATTCAGTGACCCCCTCAGGGAATTAGCAGTGCACATTTGGGGAGCAGTGAGGAGAGCGCCTGTGGGGAAGTGTGGCTGATGTACATTTTTATTACATATCCCCATGTGGTCAGTGAGGATCCAGCTTGTTTCCCGATGAGAGGCACATCCCAGGTGATATAGGTTACACAGTGCACCAAGAAGGAGGACACTGGTTTTATTTTTAAATAAAAAAGCAATTGAATTCTTAGAAATTACAAAACAGAGCTGAGAAGAAAATGCAGTCAGCTTTTCACCCGGCATCTTTCTCTGTCAGATGGTGATGGGCACTTCACACAGGCCACTGATAATATCCTGCCTGGGCTTTCCCCAGTGAGCTTCTGAATTGCTTTTTCTTCCTTTCCAGCAAATTTCTCATGGCGACCTCCAGGGCTTGCAAGCCTGCTTCTCTGCTTCCATTTTTGAGGCTATGACCCCATCTTCTTAGTTGCATACCAGGGGGAGGGGGTCAGGGACAATTTGTTTTCCCATGTCCCCGACCAGCCCCACCCATGGTTTGCTACTGTTGTAAAGCCAAGAGGGGATGGAAATGATCTGGTTGATTTGCTGGAGTCAGTGTGCTGATCAAAAGAGTTAAATTAGCAAAAATGATACAATAGCTAATTGTATTAGCTCCTCTGGGAGACTCTGGGTGCAGGAAGTCAGCATTGCTACTCTCAGCCACTTAGAGACCTAAAAGTGTAACTGAGGAAGGAGAAGGGTGAGAGCCTAGCCAGAACCTCCAGCCTATTCTGGGTCTGCAAGTCAGAAGATGCTGGAAGGAGATGTAGAACAGGGACTGGAAGGGAGCAGGGTATGAGGTCAGGCTGGGTCCACCGCCATTGCCAAGGTTAAATGTGGCTACATCATTGGTCCCTTTAACTCGAATGACATAATAATTTTCTGTGGTGGGGTGGTCCACCTGAGCTGCATAGCTGCTGACAGAGCAGACAGGGGAACACCCGTTCATGACAGAGAATAAATATGGCCACTTGGTCTTTCAGTAGAGACAGTTTAAGCCTTTAAGAAGACTGTGGGTGCCAGGTTTTTACGGAAGGGAAGCAGGAAGGCTGTGGGAGGCTCAGGGGACTCAATCAAGGCAGCCTGCTGGTTGTCAGCAGATGGGGCTGGGGGCGGAGTGGTCAGAATTGTCACCATCAGGGACTGTGGTTTAGACACCAGAGCTGGAAGGACTGGGAAATGCATGGGAGGTGGCAGCATAAGCTACCGCTGCTCTCTGGTATTGCATTCATTTTAGGGCACTCAGGATGATGTTCCAATCAAGGAACCCTGTACTTACAGGAGGCTCGGGCTTCCTGATACATCCTCTAAGTCAGTATTTCAACCCCCCAGACATCCTGAAATCCAGTTGTAAGGCCTAGGAGTTTGCAGTTTTACCAAGAACTCTGAGGATGGTTACCTAGCTAGCACATTGGTCTAGGGACCACATTTAAGAACCTGTCCCCCTAGTCCAATTTTCTATTCTTCCACTCCAGAGCAGAATACTGTCCTTAGTGTTAAAGGCAGGACAATTTAGTAGTCACAGACTCTTCTGTAAAATGGAAACAAGAATCATGCCTAATTCATAAGTTGTGAAGAGCATTGATGAGGTTTGGCTAAGTGCTTAACACAGCGTCTGCCACATAAGGAAAACAACACACAAGCAAATTCATTAAATACATTTCCTGGGCAAAAGGCCATCCTCCTGTATTTGAGACTTCATAATGAAGCCACTGCCTTGGGAACAAAAAAAAAAAAAAAATGTGGCCTGCTAAACGTTGAACCTATTTTTGGCAGAAACAAAAATTCAGAAATTTAAAATAAAATTTAAAACACAGTGATTCATTTCTTGTCCAAACCAACAAAGGGAAAATTTGAAAAATATGAAAAGTTTCTCTTGGTGCTTGCCTTCCATTTTGTCCTTCATTTTATTTTAAAAATGAGAGCCCTGCTCCTTCCTTCACCCTCCCTAACTCCTGTCACCCCAGGAGCCTTCTTCTTTCTGGCACTCTGCTTCTACTATCACATGGGGCTTGTCACTGAATCCACGGGGTCCTCCACTGTAGCTTCCTTCCATTTTGCACAGATTCCTCGTCTTTCCTGGACAGCCAGCCCTAAGGCTGGATAAGGGGCTCTGGGGGGAAGCTGAGTCCCCTGGCCTGCACTGCTTGCATTCTAAACCAATACACACATGTGAGAGTGCATGACTCATGCCTATGTGTAACCATGGCCAAAGCTCCCAGGACCAGGGCAGGAGGGCATTGGGGTAATTAGGTTCCTGTGCTGTTGCTGAATCACACCATGTGACAGTTCTCCACTCAGCTGGACCAGCCAGGTGCAGAGGACATTAGTAAGGTCAAGTAGCCCCAATTTGATCACCTCTTCTGAAAATAAGGTCTAAGTGAAAGTGTAGTATGGAGTTAAGTACCTTGGACTTGGGAGACCCAAGACTTGGTTGGCTAGTTTGTGTGATTATTGAGTCGTCCATTCTCACTTACTATGCATTTATTTCTATAGACTGATCAAGTGTTCTTACAGATGTAAATATTTGTATAAGGCAAGGCATGAAAATCTGGATTTCTCTCTCTCACTTCCCAAATGATAGCCTTTAGAAGAATTTATATACAAATCCACAAAGTTCTGGGAAAACAGCACTTTCTGTATTAATTATGTCCAAAATGTTTATCCAAAACAACATTACCAGAAGTATAATGTTCTTAATTGTATCATTTTTTAAAAATTGTTCTTGGAAAGTGGTAAAAGCCTACTGTGAGTAGAGGAAGTTTTAGCTAGTCAAAGTAAGAGGAATCCAAGAAGGTGAGAAGAAGGAAAAGAGAAGAAAAAACAACAATCTATTATGAGACATAGTCTTTTGAAAGTCCTGAGACTTGCAAAGGTCAGGGATCTATTCTGCTGAATAAAGTAACCCGTTATATTCGGCCATCTCCACTTTTCCATGGTTTGACTCCAAAGCTGGGATTCTGCTCCCAGCAACATGATGTATTGCAGAGAGCAGAAAAATGTCAAGAATCATCTTGTTTACTCCTATCAGTAAAGGATGACGTCCCGATTTCCTCTTACTGGCAATTTGTCCACAGTAAATCCCGACCTAGAGGGAGTTGTGTGAAAGTCTCCTTTAACAGAAAGGAGAATTCAGGATGTTGGAGATACACAAGGCTTCAAATATCAGCCATGTCTTGACATCACATAGTTTGAGGTCACCCGTCTTTCAGGTTCCTGGCAATGATATCCTTCACACCCAACTATATAATTTTGTAGTGAACAATTGAACTGGTAGAGAAGAACAATCAAACTACCAAACCATTGGAAGTGTGCAAATGGACTTCAGTACGGGACTATGTCTCAAGGGCTGCACTTTGCCTGTTCATCGTATGTGTGGATCCTCGAAGAAACTTTGGGGAAAAGGAATTATTATGCTCCTGTTGCACACTAGAAAATTAAAGATTGAAAGGGTGAAGTATCTGGAAAAGGGCTCTGTATTTAGATTGCAGTAGAGCCAGGATTTGAAGTTCAAGTATATCTGACTCCAAAGCCTAACCTATTTTGTCGAAGTATGTCATGCCACTGACAGGGGCACCTCACTTCTAGCCAGGTTGAGAATATCAACCCTGCAGGTCAGGGAAGGTAACTCCTGACTAAACCACGTCTCCAGAGATGGGGACGCTGAATCCCAGAGTGGCTCAGCCATATGCCCAAGTCAAATCGCACAGCCTCTGTAGAGAGGATGGAGATCTCAGCTTACCATGCCCATGCCCTTTCCACTGTGCTAGATTTATTTTGTCAAAGACCATCAATATCTTTAGACATTTAAATTACCTTCTAAAGGGGAAATACATTAAAAGACAGCCAATTGACTAAAGTCATTAGGCAATCAAATTTATGACTCCGGCTAACAATTTCCCCTCTTTTATCATCTTAAATAACTCTTGGCATTAGAACCAGGCACAGTGCTCACTATTACTCGTCATAATGCACCTTTCCTGTCATCTACATTGTCTTGTTCAACAAAGGGAAATGCCAGTTTTGACAACTGACGAATGCCACAGTGAGCAGCTAAGAGTCTCTTCAAGTTGTTTTTGGAAATAGAGAGGAATTCATTGAACCCCCCTCTCTTAACCACTTCCCTCCAAACACCCTCCCGCCTCCACTCTTCTCCCACCCTATGAAATCTGTCAGAACAGCTGGCTTTTGAATGTTTAACTTTGAGTTCAATGTATTCTAAACCAAAACTCTGAACCCCTGGGACTTCTTAGCCTAGCCCCAAGAGACAAAGATATTTGATAGCACCCAATTAACAAGAGTCACCAACACATAACCTGCTCGTGCTACATACTTTGCTGTGCCTAATATGAGACCCAGTCCTCTGCACCCGCCTCTCGGAAGCTTTGCCTGACTTTCCCCGGCCTTTCTTCCAAAGCAGTCTGTTCACTCTACATTATAGCCATTGTCACAGGCTATGATTCTGCCTCCAACACATACCAAAAGCATGAACTCACCT